TGAAAAAGTCGGGAAATTGCCATTTTTCCAAAGGGGTTAACCCATGCTTTTGGTCCAAAAATGGCCATTTTTCCAGCTTTTCGTTTTAGGCAATAAAGGCCAGTAAAATGTCTTTTACGATATTCTAGAACGAAAAAACGGCTTTTTATGCTATAAAAGCAAGAAATTGAAAAAGTCGGGAAATTGACATTTTCCCAAAGGGGTTAACCCATGCTTTTGGTCCAAAATTGGCCATTTTTCCAACTTTTTTTTTTAGTCAATATAGCCCAGGAAAATGTCTTTTACGATATTCTAGAACAAAAAAACGGCTTTTTAGGCTATAAAAACAAGAAATTGAAAAAGTCGGGAAATTGATATTTTTCCAAAGGGGTTAACCCATGCTTTTGGTCCTAAAATGGCCATTTTTCCAGCTTTTCGTTTTAGGCAATAAAGGCCAGTAAAATGTCTTTTACGATATTCTAGAACGAAAAAGCTCCTTTCCGGGCTATAAAAAGAAGAAGTTCGGAAAGTCGAAAAATTGCCATTTTTCAAAAGGGGTTAAGCCATGCTTTTGGTCCAAAAATGGCCATTTTTCCAAGTTTTCTTTTTAGGCAATATAGGTTAGTAAAATGTCTGTTGCGATATTCTAGAACGAAAAAACGCCTTTCTAGGCTTTAAAGAAAATAAGTTGAAAAAATCGAAAAATTGACACTTTTTCAACGGGGTTACCCATGGTTTTGGTCCAAAAATGGCCATTTTTCAAACTTTTCTTGTTAGGCAATATAGGCCAGGGAAATGTCTTTTACGATATTCCGGAACGAAAAATCTGCTTTTTTTGGCTATAAAAACAAGAAATTGAAAAAGTCGAAAAATTAACCTTTTTCCAAAGGGGTTAACCCATGGTTTTGGTTCAAAAATGGCGATTTTTCCAGCTTTTTGTTTCAGGCAATATAGGCCAGGAAAATGTCTTTTACGATATTCTAAAACGAAAAAACGCCTTTCTAGGCTATAAAAACAAGAAAATCAAAAAGTCGAAAAATTGCTATTTTTCCAAGAGGGTTAGCACTTGCTTTTGGTCCAAAAATGACCATTGTTCCAACTTTTCTTTTTAGGCAATATAGGCCAGGAAAATGTTTTTTACAATATTCTAGAACGAAAAAACGCACATCTAGGCTATAAAAACAACAAGTTAAAAAATCCAAAAAATTGACATTTTTCCAAAGGGGTTACACGATGGTTTTGGTCTAAAAATGGCTATTTTTCCAACTTCCTTTTTAAGGCTAAATAGGGCAGGAAAATGAGTTTGACGATATTCTACAACGAAAAACGTCTTTCTTGGCTATAAAAACAAGAAGTTCAAAAAGCCCAAAATTTGACGTTTTTTCAAAGGGGTTAATCCATGGTTTTTGTCCAAAAATGGCCATTTTTCCACCTTTTTTTTTAGGCAATATAGGTCAGGAAAGTGTCTTTTACGATATTCTAGAACGAAAAGACGGCTTTCTAGGCTATAAAAACAAGAAGTTCAAACAGTCAAAAAATTAACATATTTCCAAAGGGGTTAACCCATGGTTCTGGTCCAAAAATGGCAATTTATCGAACTTTTCTTTTTAGTCAATATAGCCCAGGAAAATGTCTTTTACGATATTTTAGAACAAAAAAACGACTTTCTACGCTATAAAAACAAGAAGTTCAAAAAGTCGAAAAATTGACATTTTTACCAAGGGGTAACCCATGGCTTTGGTCCAAAAACCGACATTTTTCCAACTTTTTTTTCAGGCAATTTAGCCCTAGGAAATGTCTTATACGATATTGTATATCGAAAAAACGCCTTTGTAGCCTATAAAAAAAGAAGTTTAAAAAGTCAAAAAATTGACATTTTTCCAAAGGGGTTAAACCATGCTTTTGGTCAAAATATGGCCACTTTCCCAACTTTTTGTTTGGGCAATATAGGCCAGGAAAATGTCTTTTACGATATTCTAGAACGAAAAAACGGCTTTCTAGGCTATAAAAACAAGAAGTTCAAAAAGTCAAAAAATTGCTGTTTTTCCATAGATGTTAACACTTGGTTTTGGTCCAAAAATGAGCATTGTTCTAACTTTTTATTTAGGCAATATAGGGCAGGAAAATGTCTTTTACGATATTCTAGAACGAAAAAACGCCTTTCAAGGCTATAAAAACAAAAAGTTCAAAAAGTTGAAAAATTGACATTTTTCCAAAGGGGTTACCCATGGTTTTGGTCCAAAAATGGCGATTTTTCAAAGTTTCTTTTTTAGGCTTAATAGGCCAGGAAAATAACTTTTACGATATTCTAGAACGAAAAAACGCTTTTCTAGGCTATAAAAACAAGAAGTTCAAAAAGTCGAAAAACTGACATTTTTCCAGAGGAGTTAACCCATGGTTTTGGTTAAAAAATGGCCATTTTTTCCACTTTTTTTTTTTAGGCAATAAAGGCCAGGAAAATGTCTTTTACGACATTTTAGAACGAATTAGTAGTATTAGCATTTTGGCGAAACCGCAGTTCAACCACGGCATCACATACCTGTCAACACCATGCAGGAATCAGACAATTACACAGTTTCGGGGCAGTGATAAGACTATCCACAACCACGGATAATCTTCTCATGTTTAACATGAGCGAAATGTGATCGAATAACTCGGAAACACTTAGCGTGTCGGCAGATAAACACCTCTGGACCAGGCTATGGTCGTTTTTCTTACACTTGTCTTATTCAAGTTCCCGGATGTAGAGTCACACGGTCGGTTGATCACCTTAGCCTTGTTTTCACACCAGCCCCGGGTTAAAGTTGACATGCAATTTTGCTCTCGCCTAATTCAATTGACGTCTAAGAGCCTGTTCCCGAGGCCAAAGACTTAGTGGTCACCTTAGAAAAGGGAACAATATTGTACCTTTGATGCAGACTCTGCGAATCGTGATAACTTTGTCCCATCTCAGAGCTTTACATGATGCTCTTCGGGAAACGTTTCTCAAGATGACCAATACTCGCAAAAGTAAACTGCTAAACGGCACCGAAACCAGCTTTAGGCGCGCACTGATTTCAAATAACTGTCACTTGTGTTAAATAGAGAATTGTGGGTAGGTAAGAAACAAAATAGGGAGGGAGGGTGGGAAGGGAGGGGGGGGGGGGGTAAGATAGTAATTGTGTCTACATCCACTTCTACCAGGAGCCCATCAAATGGAGCCTCCATCTCCATTAATTTCTTGAGTCAACCCTTTCCCGAGTAGATTTATAAATAGAACGGCTTGTTTCCCGCGAAAAGTGTCATATTTCTCTCGCATGTCTCGTATATCACCGTGAAGAAAATGAAGTTGGATGAAGTCGAACTCAGAAGCCCATCCTTCGACCGCTTTCCTTTTTACTATACGTCACTTTTTATGATTTTACAGCCGCTGGGATCTGGGTATCATGAAATAAAAGTTAATGAATTACCCGACTGAGACTGAACATGAAGCGATGGGACAAAGACAGCGAACTGAGGATCACTGAAAGGTTATCTTTGTGAGTGTTTTTATTTGTCGTCATACATTCAACATGTAAGCATGCACTTCGAAAAGAGTCGAGGATTAAGCGTTCTGTGGACGATTTGGAACTTTTCGATGATCAGCGCCGAAAAATTGCCAGGATCATGATTTGATTTTTGTCATCACCTTGGAGTGGATTTCGCCAGTTAAGCACCGCGTGCAAAAGCGATGACCTAAGTAGCAACTAACGAGGAATGCTTTATTTCCGAAATTGTGAGAAATTGCAGTCTTCCTCTACAACTGACCCGCATCACCATGAGAGTTGCTTGATGAAACTACGTGAAACTGGCTCTTGAAAAGTTGAACAGAATAGAACAGCAGCTTGACCGTGAAGCTAACTCAAAAGTAATTTGCTAATAGAGGAATTTGTGACATCGCGTTCCAGTCCAAAGACTCACTTGTCTCCAGAAAAACAAAATGGATTGTAGCTGCGACAAAAGAATTATGATTGACCGACAGGACAATTCTCAGCAGTTAATGTAGAAGTTTAGGCTAATGTATGTATTGTCCGCATTAATGTGGAAAAATTAGCATAACGTCAAAACAGTGAATGTTGTTACGCAGATTTTTGACCGGTTCGTAGGATAGGTTTGTCTTGAAATTTCAAGGTGTTGCAGTGAATCAATCTTAATGAAAGTTTCAGACATTTTTATATACATTATGAAGAAGAGATTTTAAAAAAATTCGTTCGAGTTGTTTCAGAGATATACAAGAAAGGGCTAAAAGTCCAAATTCTGCATGAAGTTGCACTTATACAGGTGGTGAGAAAAAGGGTTAGTTTTCAAGATCGCAAGAACGAAAGTACACCAACATTTCCTAGTATCAAAATATGATATTAAGCAGCATTTTGGCGCTACTTAAGAATAATTTGAGTCATTTAAAACGTTTTTATTAAATAATCTATCACGGCTGTTGAAAATTTAAGGTTTGAAATATATTTTCGTTTTAGTCGAATTCAAACATACAGAATTTTTTACTTCTTACGGAGATTGTTCAGTTGCTAAACACCAAACTTTTAGTTCCTAGTGTTGGATTTTCAGTAGCAGGTCTTGATCACACAAAATTCGGCTTTTATCAATTTCAAAGTTTTTTGTTTATTGTTGTCATAATAATATCGATTTTATTTGAAACTACATTTTCCCAAATTTCAATCCATAGCCAATTACTGGTGAAAACTTTATAGCGATCGGACAAGGAAAAAACCACTTTTAAGGCGATTGAAAAATATCGGTATGGCCTCTGACAAACTGTATCGAAACACCTTAAGTGTAGTTTTATACAAAACGTAAGTGAATTCTCTTGATTCCTCTATCTTAAAACAAAACACTTCTGAGTAGAGCCAGCTTTCCACTTGATTGCCGTGATCGTTACGACTGCTGAAAAAGTTGAGCGAACATTTAGACCCTGTTTACATGGAGTGGGGGACCCCGGTTTAGTGGGGTAGGTTTCTTTTGTTTTATGTTCCCCAGAGCGTGAAAACAAAAGAAACCAACCCCACTAGACCGGGGTCCCCCACTCCATGTAAACAGGCCCTTAGATTGGTCATTCTAAAGTTGCGCGTGACGCTGGGTCACGCTCCCGGCGAATTGAACTATGGGACTGTTTGGGGGACGAATTTTGACCCAATCCCCTGTACAAACACGTAATAAATGAGGAGCTTAAGCAAAGGCGTTGTTGAGCGACTCACGTCAACTGGAAGAGAGCCTTTTCACTTTTAAATTGTCCTGACGGAAACAAATTTGAACTAAGTGTCTTAAATCTCATAGAGACGATTTGTCCAAAGTTCTTGGGCAAAACTATCACCCACGAATGCTAAAACATCAACTTCCGGTTGACGTGTGACGCCCAAAAACGCCTTAAGCTTCCTAAAAAAGCAAAAGCGATAGTGCTTCCAAAAACAGTCCCATAATGCAACGCTGACCCAGGCTCACTTGAAACCTATGCACTAGGACTAGAACAAGTCTCCACGATCTTATCTATTTGAAGAGGCGAAACAATGTCGCCTTTATTTGTCGTCCGATGTTTCTTCTATTACTTCGTTTATGGTGACAATTTATAGAATTTTATTAAAAGATACTTTCTAAACTCTGATTTGGAACTTCCCCGCTTTGGTGACGTACTTTACTCCTTTAAAAGGTTTGTATTTCTAAAAAAAAAAAGAGGAAAACGATGGTAAGATATCAGCTAAATATGACAGCGTGTTTGTGCGCTTTCGGGTGTGAGTAAACATTCAATTTCCTGCCTATCCACAGATCACAAAGGCAAAACAGTGAAAGGAAACTATCCGCCACTAGCAATTTTCGTGTATTCAAATGTTAAAGTAGTTTGCCATGTAAGAAAATGAGCCTCTGTTTGGCCACGCGTGGACTTCCCGTTCGTCGGTTTTTCAACGAAACCGTCACTAGTGTAGCAAGAACTGTTTTGCGTGGTGAGCGTGATAGCGAGCTTGAGCAACGTCACGCAGGGAAACCAGTCTTACGAAATTTCGGCTTTTTCGGATAAAAAAGACGGGGTAGTAGAGGTAAAGAGCTGTAGGAGAAAAAATATTTTTCGGCTTTTGTTGTTTCCCGCCCCACCCCCTCGGGCTCCACATTGGCACACGCGGCTGTGGACAATCTACGTATTCTAAGTAGCTGAAAGCAAAGCTACACCGGTAAAGTCATGATGGCGTGCGCTACAGTAGCTTGCGTGTCACCCACGAGAGACGTGCGAGTGCAACAGCTGGTACTCATACCAATTTCACTTACCTCTCCATAGATATCCAGTCTGCTGACCTTAAGGCCTGATGCCGCCAACTGTGCGATCTTAAAATTGACCTGAAATTTCAGGTGGCGAGCAAGAAGATTTGTTAAAAGATGAAAGAAAATGACAGAAAGAAGCAAAGAAACATGCTGTGATGCATACTTACAGAGATTGTACAAGACTCATCGGGAGGCGGTACGCCTGTTTGAAGGGACACCTTAAAATAAATCAACAAAGGACTTTCTTGATTACCGTATTTATTCGATTAACCGCCCTGGGCGCTTATTAAATTTTTGGACCTTGAGAGTGGGCGCTTATTCGAGATGGGCGCTTATTAAATTTTCACCATTTTCAGAAAGTGAAGTATGTTTATTTTGCAACAAAACAATAAATGCTAATGATAAAACGCGAAGAAGTAACAAAGCAAGGTTTCTGTAAAATACTTTGAAGAAAACTCCGTCCTCTGGGAAGTCTCTTATTAGAACTGGGGTAGGCTTTGGTAGATTGTGCTAGCATAATTTTAAGCATAATTCAGCAAAACGAGCATTATTTTAAGCTTTTATTTCAGTTTAGCACTGCTAGCATAATTCGAGCTTTTATGCGTTGAAAACAAAAAAACCCATCATAGCTCTAGAATAATTCAGTTTGTATTTTATTTCTGTATTGTTTTTGGAAAATATTGAGGTCTGTGCTAAGGCCCATGGTCAAATATGGTCCGGCAGGCGGCAGAGGTCCCTGTGCGTAAGACTGAGACTCTCCAGGCCACCACGCTTATGGCTCGGCGGCTCGGCCCCTCAGGCCTCAGATCAAAGATGGCGTCGTCCTCGAGTACATCCACTTCCACCACTTCCACCACTTCCACCACATCCATTGCCGTACCGTCTAAAACAAGTATGCGGGCTATAATTTTCTGACCCGGATTTAGAACCCAGAAACGGTTGATTTTGGTATCATTTGTTAATCACTTGGCTTTTCGAGGTGCGCACATGCCTATTTGCGATACTAAAGACTGTAAGACTGGAATTTAAGTTTTGTTGAAGATGATGACGGCAAGACAATACTGAAATTTTACCACCTCTGTTTGAATTCGGAGGTTGTCCCCTTCCTTCAGCTCCAGCCAAATTTCCGTTCTTCCAAGTAAATGGGGGACTTGGAATAATCGAGAAAGTTTAAAAGGATGCGAAGCCTACTTTTCTGCGACGTTTTAACTGTTGTTGTCGTCGTCGTCGAATTCGTTCTGGTGCGAAATCCCATTGTGAAATCGGACTCCCGGTCGACTGGAACGGCTAGCGCATGCGTAATTTTCGTCAATTCAGGATGACGTCGTCATGTTGGTCATGAGACGAAGAAAAAAGACGCAGACAAGTAAACGCGACATGAAATCAAGAAGTCACCCCAATATGAAAGTATGTGGTATATAGTATTGGCGAAATAACATTTTGCTTAGAAATAGATGGTCTAAAACCAGTGGGAATTGTAAGTGGGATGGAGGGAAGTGGGGATGTAATGGGGATTTTATTGTACTCTTACAGTGCTTAAGGTTAAGTAGCCTACGAACGCAGACGTATTTCCGGTCGACGCTCGGGCGGAGAGAAGCGACAATCAAAAATACGTCTGCATTTGCAGGCTAACAGATTTAACTATTAAAAAACGTGCATGTGTTACACTTACATTTCCTCTCAGATTGGGTAACTTCTGAGGTAATATTTTACCAATCTGCAAAGAGATTACAAAACAAAAATTTTATCTTCTTCCTGGCAAGAGTGCCATAAAACCTAAAACCAAATTAATCAATTTAGTCAACCACATCTGCAAACAGTCTAGTGAACCAATAGCGTGCAACCTGGGGACACGAAGGGCAAAAAGCGTACAAGCAACTCATGATTGCCATTGGTGCAAAGTTTGCTTCTTATTGGTTAAGAGACTGGCACAAACATTTTATAGCTATTCACAAACGAGTGAGTTCACAATCAAAGATGTTGTGAAAAAAATTCTTTCGATGTAGGAAAGAACCTTTGTGGAACTGTGGCACAAACGATAAAGCATCCCCCTTTGTGCCGCGTGTTGGAGAAGAGCATGCACTGCTGCTGACTTCAGAAGAATTTTAAAAATTTAGCTATCGCAATACTAACTGTTTACAAAGCACCGTTTTTGTTTTTCAGGTGCATAACGAGTGAAACAAAGAACTGATGCGCTTCTGGTTGACACATTAATATCAATAAGTGACGTCAGCGTGAGTATAGTCTGCTACACAGCCGTTATTAGTGTCGTCACGCAACGCTCCTCCCAACTAACGTTAGTGGGGAGGAGCGTTGCGTGACGAAACTAATAACGGCTGTGTAGCAGACTAGCGTGAGTATCGCTATTGGCCACAATGAAGTAGCACATGAGAAGGGTCAATGTTAAACACAATTGCACTATTGGACTGTTTTGGGGATGTTATTACTTCTTTCAAAGTGAGAGGAAAAGTCGTTACTTCACGTTGCCATGGTACCAAAATTTCTGGATGACAACGAACTGAAAATGTCACTGAAAAAGTATTCGTACTGTTTCAAAGTTCATCCTTCTTATTCAATTTCATTTAATTTGTACAACTGTAGGCAAAATTTTCTGCGATTGAATCCGAAAGGACCGTATTTAGGTTTAAGAAAAAGAAAAAGAAAATTTTTGTGTTGTGTTCACCAACTCCATAAAGCGGGCGTTTGAATTTTGGAAGTTTAATAATAATAATAATAATAATAATAAAATATTTTTATAGCGCCTATGCTTTTCAGTAATGAGCGCTTTACAAAAAAATAAAAATCCTAGTTAAAGGGTTCAATAACAAATCGCCATTTGTTAGAAGATGAGCGAATTTACCTTGCAAAAAACAAGCAACGCATAAACACGCAAATGTAGCAGTTGTGCGACGACGGTTACGAAATGTAACGTGCAAAGTTGTTGTTTTGCTAACATAAACCAATCGCTTTTTTGCCGTTCTCGTTGCCGTCGTCGTCGTCGTTTCTCAAGCACCCCATTGTTGTGAACCATAAATTTTGCTACCATGGTAACGTGACATCACATTTTTCCTCTCTATTGGCTTTTACAAGGTTGCGTGGGAAACTGGGTTGAAATTCGCCCCTCCCCCCCTCCCCCAACAACAAAAAAGCAGTGACGGATCCAGGAGAGGGGCCCGGGGGGGCAGCATCCCCCTTATTTGTAGACCAAACTGAGGCTCGAAGGGCCGAAAAAGAGGTTTTGCTGAAAAACCATCTCTTTTGAACATAATATTTAGGATTTGACTGATGTTGATGGTTAGTTTTGATTAAAAGTAAAATTCACATTACGGTTGGAATGGGCTGGCCAGTCAGTTCTGACAAATGGAAAGCGCCCTAAGAGTCTTAAAGTAACTGAGGACCAACGTAGTTTCTTTGCTCTGGAAACGAATTGACCTTTGCATGGCTTGGACGACCAACAGAAATGGCGACCACATCTAGAATAATTAGTACTTGCGGGCTGAATTCATTAACACTAAAATAAAGTACATTTTTAAATACCATAAATGTATTGTAAGTACTGAACTTACATCCCAAACAAGCTCCTTCTTGACAGGATCAAAAGAACATGTACCAACTGAAAAGACAAGTACAATTGGCGCTCAATGAGAGCCTTTGCAACAAGTAATGTGTAAGCACTGAATAACTATAAACTGGATGCTAAGTATTCTAAGGAAAAAAAAATTAAGATCATTCTAAAAAGTTAGTCGTCTGACAGACACAAAAAGCCTACCCACTGCATGGCATCAATGCAGTTTTTCATAAAAGATTTCTAAATAAGAACAATAAATTAAACATTATTTACAGGGCCAGTAAATATTAAAAGAAAGAAATGAATGTGAGTGTTTCACTCATTTCAGTGTTTCTAAACAATGCGCAAATTTTTTAAACCACTCATATAAAATTGTCTTAGTCAGGCACCTTCCAGTCGGTCTATAAATAATTAATATATAATTAATTAATTATTAGATGCGCAGGAGACGGGGGGGGTCTTAAGAATTTTAGGGTAGGTATGTGCTGCTGGGACCCTGGAACGCTTACCAGGGGCACTTTCCATTCAACAAAAATTCCACTACATTCCAGTTGCACAGACCCGACCCACACCACAGCGCATTTTGTTATTGTTCTTGTAAGGAGGATACAAAAGAGCAGTACTGGGGATAACAATTTTGTCAAATGGAAAGGGACATTTCGGTCCGACCGAACAAGATAACCCAACCGGTCAAAGTGGACCACCTTCAAAGCTGGTCCCCAATATTCCAGTAGGACCAAACCGAAATTAATGGTCTGTTCCAACCAACCGAAATTTCTTGAATTTTGGGTTGAATGGAAAGCTCCCTCTGCGTCCTGCATCCCTGATGCATAAAAATCCCCAAAGAAGCAAAATTTAATAATTCATGGCATGCGTCCTGTAGGATGCAAAGATCGATACATTGATCTGAACATGTGTATTTGTAGAAATATCCCATTCATGTAATTTCTGTGGCAGTTATCATGGCTGTCGTTTAACAATGCATATTTCTTTTAGCCTTTGTTGTGCTTTAAACAGAAGGACTATCCTTTAATTTCAGTATACTGTAATACAGAGTTTTGGAATCTGTCTCCAGATTAATCGTCTGGTTACATAAAGGCCATAGCATTTTCAATTTCGGATTTATGGGACTCTTAGTTCTGGACTGGAAGTCATGATTTTCTACAAGATGAGTCCCAGACTCACCATAACTATTTGTAATCAGATCACTGTATAACATAGCAAATGCATACTTCACCTGAGGGGGTAAGATTGACATTCAAGACTTGCTTAGGAAAAGGAACTGTCACAACTACATCTTCCACCTGAAAAATTATGAACCAATCAATCCATTTGCTATTGCACAGTGATGCATCATAACTAGATATAATTATTATATGGCTTGCTCCACAATCAGGCAAGAGGGGGTGAATCCTGAGTTCTGATTGGCTTGAATACCAGAGCTGGCAAGATGGGCCTCCTGATTTGTTCCATAAGGTTTTGTTTGGACCATGTAACTAATCCGCCATTGAACAAGATGGTTGGGTGTTGACCTTATTCTTTGTTTGGTTTTTATGCAAGAAGATAATTACAGTTCTGACCAACAGGAGGAACACCCGGAGGCTGTTTAGAAGCTTACATGAATCCTCTATTAAGCCCCTGGGGGGCTTATTTATTTCAACGCCATTTGAGCGGGGGGGGCTTATTTAATTTAGAAAAGACGATGGTATTAGTTCTCCATAAAGAACTAGAATACAAAGTGGAAAAGCTCAAGTACAAGAAGGTTGGAGTTCATGCAGCTGAGGATCAGAATCAAATCAGAACTTCCAATTGGTAAATAAACCATACCAGATCAGTCCACAAAAAGTTTTACAGTCATGATTGGTTAATACATTCTATCATTTATTAGTGAAGAATAATAAGAGGGAGGGAGGAGGGGGGGTTTAATAGAGGATTTACGGTATCTGAAGATCTAGAGTTGAATTATGAACTTTTGAGAAACGTTATGCAATTTGTATTGCACTCCAAATAGATTACTGTCAGTGAAGCTCCATGTTGGGCACCTACTAAAGAATCCTCCTTGAGGAAATATCTCACGCTGCCAAAACATTTATATGTCACATGAACAATGTAGTAAATTACAGTCTATTCACCAACAAAACAATCACTAAAAAATGCAGCTACAATGCTCTTTGTTTTAACTCCTTTAAACTGCACTAAAATGCATTAACAAACATTAAAACCATAAATTATACTCACTGTTTTTCCCATTGTTTGTTTAGGACCAACAGTAAGTTCAAACCTTCCAGAGCCACCCTATGACAGTGAAAAAAATAGACAAACTGATAGTGTTGCAACAACTTACAAGCTGCATACATGTTTAATACCTGAGCAGATCTCCTCCCAAATTTTTCTTAACTACATGTAGTTTCCAGAATTTTAGATTTTAGAGAAATTTAGAACCACGTTTATGGTTTATGGTGTACGTCAGATTCAAGTTGAACAGTAAACTAGTAAAGGGTAGCCTGCGAGCAAGCTCTCCATTTAGGGGATATCATGAAAAGTAGATGCACAAGAGGTACACAAGAGGAGACACGAAAGCAGGGGGCGCAGGAGAGGCCCTTACATCTCTGCTGCTCACTCACATGTTCTCACGCGGCTTGCTTCACTCGCCCAAACAGGAGAGCTTGCTCACAGGCTAAGTAAAGGGTTAGCTTGGTCACATGATGCCAGCTGACATTTGCCATTTGCCGTAAACATGATTTTACTCTCTGGATTATTGAATTCAAGCAATAACAAAACCTTGCTGATCATGCTATGAATTATTGATGGCAAAAAGTCAGAGTTTTTCTTATCCTGTCAACACACAGAATTTGACTTACCTCATGGTAAGATATTTGGGGTTTTGCATAAACAGGAATTGCAACAGTTCTGTGCAAAAAATGAACACAACACATTAGTTGGCAGGTGCAAAACATAGATCACAGGTTACAAGTCCAGGCCACTGCTCTATTGATAAATACACTGAGTTAGACAGTTTCCACTTAACCGAGCACTCTTATCTGGATGGTGATGATAACAGGACTAGGAGACACCTTTAGTATTGTTTATAATATAAACAGGTCAAAATTAAATTCATGTTAAAGTTTTTCAACCTAGGTTGATTCTCATTTCCTTTGTCTCCTTGTCCTAATTCATGAATGATTTTATTTTGACCTGTAACATTGATTTTATTTACCAAAGCACGGTGACCTGTACTCTACCCTGCACTTGTTACCTGTGACATGCGTTTTGTACCTGCCACATATTAGTGCAGTTGAAGCAAACTAGAAAAACTAGAAGTAAATGAAATGATGCAAACGCTGTATTTTCAGCCTTGCCTTGAAAGCCTAGAAGTTCAAAAGATTCACAAGAAGTGTGAAACTATGGATTAACTTATGAGTTCTTCTTGAATTAATGAAGCAAAAGAACAAGACTTACCCAGAAGTTATGTGATAGGATAAAAGTCTATAATTTCCATCAGGGGGAACAAATGACAAGACCTTCTCACTCTGCAAGGAAATAGTTTTTTCCATCAAGAAAAGATTTAGCTATCATCTGCTGTTTTACTAAAAACTAATGATATTTCATGCTCCTTGTTGCATGGGAGGTACATGTACATGTATGACAGAGAATGGAAGAAAGGAAAACAACAGATGTGCAAAAGCACAGGGGATGTGCTGGGGAAGAGGAAAAGACCGATCAGGTGATTCAAATAGCATTATGTTGATCATTTGGAAAAAACACTGAGGCAATTAAAGGCTGTAAAAGCCATTGCATGTAATTTTAACTTAATCAATGTAACCAATCACGAATTGAATGCCAAGAATCTGAGGGTAATTTTTTAAATAAAAAATAATAAAAACAAGGCATTTTTACAGGTGAGCTTCTCACTCCTGTATTGTGCACCCTTTAAGTTTTAACCTGCTTTTCTTTTTTTTTTGCTTCCGTAACAATGCATGAACCTGTCAGGCGTACATGGGATGTGGATTGTATTACATAAGCAAGTTTGCTGTGAAGACTAGTACTTGTTTTTTAATCGCATATGGACAAAAAAACTAAGAATTAATAACTAATTCTCAAATT